GCGCGCGCGCTCCTCGAAGAAGCGCTCCTCCGCCAACTGCAGCTGCCGCGACAGGAACTCGTAGGAGGCCAGCTCGCAGATGATCAGCTGGTCGCGGCAGAGCGAGGTCTCGATGACGCGGCGCAGCGTCTCGTGGAGCTTGGCGGTGTCGTCCGTCTCCAGGGCCTGCATCATGGCCACCCAGCGGTTGTGCCACGCCATCGCCCCGCCAGCCATGCGCAGCATGAAAGGGAGCACCCGCATCGTGGTCCTTGGGCCCCTCGCGGGCCAGTCGGCGCGGGCGGTCTCGGTCTGGCGCTTCACGGCGCCACTGAAGGGCATGCCCCGCAGCCCACGAGCGTCGAGCTCGGTGGCCATCACGCGGGGATCAGGTCCCGCGACGCCCGGGGCGGCGGGGGCCGCGGCGGCGCCGCCGACGCCCAAAGGGTCCGCGGCAGCAGGCAGCGCGGCTCCCCCCGCACCGAGCGCCGCCGCCAGCGCGCCCACCCCGCCCTCGGGCGCCGCGGCCACCGCGGCGGGCGGCCCAGGGGCGCCCGCGGGGGGCGCGGCCGCGCCCGCCAAGGCCAGCGCGCCAGGCGCTGCGGCAGCGGGCGCCGCTCCGAGCGGGTCGGGCAAGGCCAGCGCCCCCGCCGCCACGCCCAGCACGTTGTCGGCGCTGAGCTCGAGGTTGAAGGGCGACGGCGGCAGAGGTCCGTGGCCTTGAGCGACGCCGCGGCGCACAGCAGCCCAGACGACGGCTGCGGACGGCAGCCGTCTGAACTTGTAGAGGCTATATGGGCGGCGACTCCGACGATCGCGTCGCCCTGGCCCGCCGAATCATGCACTGATCTCAAGTCGCCACCAGCCAAGTCGCTCTCCGCGTAGTCGTCATCGTCGGGGGTGAGGATGTACCCTGGCAGCAACGCGAGCCTCTCGTGGTAGATGGCGGGCCCCCCGACGTTGTACCGTACGTAGTGGAACTGGCCACAGATGCGAGCAGCCATTGCTCCTAGCGGCGGAACTTCCTCGACTGGGCAGCGGCCGCCGTCGCAAGGTCGAGAGTGTCCACCGTCTCGCGCTGAGGTGCTGGAGCGGGTGCGGGCTGAACCACGGGGGCCGCCCGAGAGCTCTTGATGAAGAAGCCGCCTACGACGATGCCGTATGCGAAGGAACTCACCACGAGCACGACCACGAACTCAGTTGACCAGCCTGTGGGCTGCACAGATGCCAGGGAGCCCTCGCCTGTCGGGCAGCGGCACTCCAACGCAGGGCAGTGCAGCGCTGGAGAGCAGACGCAATCTGGGCAGGGCGTCGAGCTGCCGCGAACTATGATGGCAGTGGTGAGGGCACTGGTGAGGTCGGCGCAGACCCGCTCAAAGAATGCTTGCATTCCTTTAGAACTTGAGCGAGGGAATACGGCCGCGGAGTTGCCACAAATGCCGACAAGTCGCTGTATATGATAATGCTGTTGATGATGATGACGACGCGCCCTAAAGGCAAATGTCCTGGATACCCTTGACCACTCAATATTATATATTTGGTTAAGGATATCTCGTCGCACGGACGCAGGGGGAGGTTTTCCCCCATCCGGCGTCATCATAGATACCTCTTTCCCCCCACCACCAAGCCAATCGCTAAGGCGGGTCGGGCGATTCGCCCAGGACCACCTCGCAATTGGTGTACTCGAAGCTTGAACTGTCGCGCAACTACACGGATGGGCCATACATGGTTCTCATTACGAAGCTATCGTTTTTGGCGCCGCACACACGCGCTCCAAAATATCATAAACAAAATCAAGACAGAAAACGGCTGGGTTTCCAAATGGGGCTCTCGCGCTGTCGCTGCGCACAACCGTCTTGAGAACTCAAGTGGAAGGCGACGGATAGGAAGCACGAGTTAGGGGCCCCGCTTGAACTTTTTCAATACTTACGAACCGATATCCAGGCATGTGCAACATCTCACCGATAGGAGGGTGGATTAGTGCCTCAGTGAGGTGTGTGGTTGGGACGTTACCGAAACGTAAGATAGTATATAGCCAAAACATTCTACAACGCTGAAACGGGCTCATAACATCATTTACAAAACGGGGCTACCGCTGAACACGCCGTTTGGCTATATGGCACCACCTCGTTGCATGTCTTATGACTGGAAAGATTGAGAATGGGTCGTTTGCACACCAAGGTATCGGTTGAATGGCTTGCCCACGTTTCCCGCACACGGAATGCATCCATTTACGGGCTATGAAGAAAGGCCTGTGGACGGGAGGGTGCACGGCAGCATCGTTGACGCAGCTCGGCCCCACTCTGGTCCTCGACCTGCCCCTCCGCAGAAGTCAGGAGGGAATATGGAGAACACGGGCGAGGAAGGAAGGATGAGGGAGCGAGAAGGAGAAACATGGAAAGGGGGACGGAGAAGCGAGGGTACGGCCATCTGGCCCAATCACGAATCACCAATGAGTATCCAGCTCAGAAATGCCGAGGGAGTAGGGGAGAGGATGGAAGAAAAGAGGGAATAATGGAGGCAGGAAGAGAAGACACGGAAGGAGGGAGGCAGGGAACGGAGGGGGCGGTGACTCAACAAGCGCTTAACAGTCTGCACGGGCGGCCGTCCATGGGCAAGGCCACAGGGGGTGGGCGGCACAAATATTGCGGACGGATTGGGTCCAAGCCATCCTCGCACTGCTGATGTCGTTGCCACCAGCCCTCTCGCATACGCTAGCCCCACCCTGTATCTGAAAGAGGCAACAGACCTATTCTTACACTGTGGGGCGTCCGCGGAAATGTAGCTGAAGACGTTTACAACCGCTTCCCTCACACGAGGTCACCCCAGTGCTGTAACTGATAGCGCTCAGTTCCAGCCCTTCGCACATGGGCGCATCGGCTTGGGCTCCAACGAGAGACACTGGGCGCCAACACCTTGTCGTATCTGCGTCGATGCTCGCGCGAAGATCCCAAGTACGTGGCTGATGGCTTTCGGATCCATCCCGTCATCGCAAATGCGGGTTTCCACTCGTTGGTCAGTTCGCAAATGCTGTGTCTGCAGAGGTCGGGCCGTCGCTTCTTCTCACAACTGCTTGTATTGTACCTGGAGACGGTGGGCTCCCGCTTTCGCGTTCTCACAGCAGTGTAGTTTTCCTGGCGTGACGATCCCTAGACTTGTGGCTGCAGTCAGTGGGCTCAAGCTGTCCTCTCAGCTGATTCCATTCCCAGGTGCGTTGCCCCCTGCACTGTAGCTGCCATCGCTGCGCACCAGCCGTCTGCCCGCGCGCGGCTTCCGTTCCAAGGTGGTTGACCCCAAGGCTGCAGCGTAAGACGTTGAATTTCAGCTGACTCACACAACTGTTTTCTTTCCTCGGCGCGCGGCGCCCAAGGGTGTAACTGAAGACGTGGCTCCCCAACTGCGTTCTCTTCATTGTGCTCCTGCTTCCGCTCGCATGTGGTCTGCTTCTAATCCTTGGTGCTGTGATGCACGGGCAGTAGCTGCCCCAACTACGAGTGCGCGCGCGCCCGCCGTTTTCCGCGGCGGCCCTTGATTTCAGGCGGCGAACTGCGGCCGAGGGTGCGGCGAGCCGCTGCGGCCTGACCCTGCGCACCATGGGGGCGGACTCGAAGGAGAGAGCGGAGGGGAGGGAGGGGAAAGACGAAGGGAAGGATAGGGACGGCAAGGATGGAGAGGAGAGGCAGGGCGATGAGGGAAGGCGCTCCTCCATGCTACCGCTCTCATCAACATCAATATCATCACTCCTCCCTCCGCCCTGCCCACAAGGACATATGGGATGGGTATGCTGTCTACTGTTCCAGGTCTGTCACGGCTTTGACGTTGGATATTTCGCAGGGTGAATTTTGCGGTCACGATGGCACTTCGCATTGTGATAACCCAGTCGCATGTCACTTTCCGGATTCGTGCCACCTCGAGTATATTTCCTGGTCCGCGGAAAAAAACACCACGTTTACCGAATCTGGCATCTGGGACCATCGGGCTTCCACTGGCCGTGCGCCGGCACGAGCGGAAGCGCTCGATATGGGATGTCATCCACACAGCCGCTGGGTACGATTCTTGGCATGACAGTCTTTGAGCCCAGTCCCAAGGCGAATGTTGGCAACCACGCTGCCCACTCTACTTCGCTCCCTTTGGCGTATTTGTCCTGGCTGCTCTGTTCGGATTATCCGCATTTCCTGGCGTCACACGTTGCCAAAGAATGCGTGTATCCCAAGAATCACCGAATGCAGAGTGGAGCAACTATTAGACGAGCTAGCACGGGTGATCTACTACATGCTTCGCTGGCATGCCACGTTCGCTGATGATCATGTGGGCGTGCCGGCCTATCCGCGGATTCCCTGCAGAATGCACCATCGTTGGTCCCGAACAATGCCCTCTGAAGCTCGCTGGCTGGCGACCTAATTGATCCGAAAAATCAGCCCGACGATCTTCTGACTGTTCGCTTCCTATATTACCCACTGTTTCCAGACAAAGCGATGACCCCCTATTGGTGGTGACTCTCTAGATGGTGAGGCGCTCTGGCTGCCTTGCATTTTCAATGGTTGCAGCCTTGTCGCATCCTCTCCAGGTCGACTGCATTTCCCCTTGTTTGCCGCACTGTCGTTTCTGGCGCTTCGCACCTTCCGCTGCCCTCTGGTCTCTGTGCGTTGGGCCGCCTGGGGCTCGGGGCTGGGCCCCCCTGTGCTGGGGAGGGTGGCGGTTGGTACAAGTGTACCCCGCCTGGTTCTCGGGCTCAGGACACTTCAGCAAGACGCCGAGCAGACTGCTGCGATGCCGAGTCCGACCGACCTGCCCACCTCCCTCACCGCCCGCCCTCCACAGTCTCTCACCGCTCCTGCGAGCACGCCCTCCCCCCTCCTCGATCTTCTCCTCCCCCCTCCCTCCTCGAGCTCCTCCTCATTCCAGCCCTCCCTCTTCGCATACGCCCTCCCCGCCTCCTCCTTCACCTCACGCTGCCCCCAGGGGAAGGCCAAGGTGGAGGAGAAGCGCTGGAGGCCAGCAGGCCCCCAGTCGCCGGCGTCCTCGTACACGCGGCCGCGCGCCGAGGGCGGCCCCACGGCGCCCGGCTCGGCAGCGGGGCCGAACAGCGGCAGAAGCGAGACTGCCGGGGAGGCTGCTGGGTTGGGAGGGGTGACAGAGAAAGCCCCCGGGCGACTCCCGCACCAGCCCCGAGGGACGCCGGGGCCCCCCCGTGGCCCCCTTTGACCCCGCCGCGGGCAGATCGGCGAGCGAAACAAGTGGCGGCCATCGGCCGGCTATGTAGCAGGGTTGGGGGGATATGTGAAGGACAAGTGAACCAAGTCGTTAGCTAGATGGAGCGAGCCAGAGGGCCCCCCTACCTCCCATGGCACGGGATCCAATGCAGGCGCAACTTGACTCTCGGACTGGCGCAAATTCCCACATGGCTAAGGGAAAGCGCTGAATCACATTGATACAAGTTCGCAAGTTCGCGCAGGGCGTGTCAAGTGGCAAGACACTCAACCCCCAATCGGTTAAGATCATGATGATCGTGGCTTGCGCCTGCTGCGACAGTCACGACTGCCATCGGAAAGGACGCGAAGGAGAATGCAACACTCGTAGATGAAACTTGTAGTAACTGCAGAGCTGCGACCAAACATGTCCAGGTTGGGAATGGTCAGAGAGGGAGAGGGAGGGAAAAAAATGGAGGAAAGGGGGGAAGGGAGAGAGACAAGGAAAAGAGATAGAGAGAACAAACAAAGTAGATCCGGAAGGAGAACAGTACTATAGTATAGACATGTGTACACGACGTACATATACGCAGAAAGAGAAGGAACATGTGAAGAGGAAAGCAGAGAGAAAGAGAGAGAGAGAAACAAACAAGCACACATAAAACTAAAGAGAGTCAGAGAAAAGAGAGAGAGAGGGAGAGAGAGAGAGAGAGAGAGATATAGAGAGAGAGAGAGAGAGAACAATCGCAAAGCGAGAGAGAACAAGAAAAAAACTGATTACCTTGCCAACACCACCGAGAATTTAGAGACATCTTTGACATCCCGGCTCCAGGATATCCCGGACGACGGTTGCAAAATCATTTGCTACTCCGACGGTGGCACGCGGACGAATGTGGTCTGATGCAGCATACATCGTGAAGATGTGCGAACAGAGGAATGATGTGTTTACACGAGCTGTTCTAGTCATTGGCGGATTCTACATGAATAACCCTTTGTTGTCCTCCCTCGCGGAGGCCATTACTTTGGAGGAATATGCGGCATGTGCCAGACGGCTGCTAGAGGAGGAAGAGAGGGATGAAGGCGGCGATTGACTCCCTACTCCTCAGTCCTTCACTCCCTCCCCTCAACCCCTTTCCTTCCCGACAGCCACCTTCCGTTCTTTCTCCGCCCTTGTCCTCTCTGGCATCCGCGCCCATGGCGAAACCACAAAAAAGCATCGGACGTCCGCGGTGACCTTCCACACTGGCTGTGCGTGTGTGTGGTCCATTATTGCTTCGGATTCTCTGTCGACTGCCTCCTCTCCCCTCCGTCCCCGCCGCCCCCCCGCCCACCCTTGCCTCCCTACCCGCCTCCCCCCCTGGAGGTGCCTGCCTCTCGCGAGCAAGATCTGCGTGAGACCCGTGCCCAGAGCGTTCTTGGGGTCCATCCTGGACGGATTGTCAACGCCGATTGATGTCGGACGACCCCGGGTCCCGAAATGTGTGGCATCGATATGCCGAACATTGGGGCAGATCTCTACGAACCTGCGTCATCCTCCCTCCCCCCTGGAACTGGTTCTTACCTTCCTCTCTCCTCTCCCTTCAGACATCGGCCCAAGAAAAATCTCCAAGGGTGTGTTGTGGACAGAAAATTAGATGGAATCCAGCCGTGGCGACGGGGAGCCTGCCACGTGCAAAATCCAACACTTCGATCTTCAATGCTCGAACCTGCTCCTCCTCCTTTTCACCCTCCCCCTCTTCCTGCTCCCCCTCCGCGTCGACATCTTAGTCGTGCGATTCATCTCACTGCTTTTCGTAACATGTGTTTTCTTATGCATGTGCCTTAATAATATGATTCGTAGGATGCTTATTCGTATCGGTCTTCTATGTATTGTTACTGTCCGTATGGAAATTCAGTTTCATCCTTATCCTATGTGTCGTATTCGTAGGCTGTCGTCTACTATTGTCAGTTGCCACCCGCATCATCACAACCATTAGCATCATCATGACCTTCAGCAACATCAGCGTCGCCATCATCGACCTCACCACCATCACCATCACTATCAACATTGCAGTTATCATTGTGAGCACCAACATCATCAGCATCATCATCATCACCACCATCATCACCATCACCATCATCAGCACCAGCATCAACATCAACATCAACATCAGCATCATCATCTCATTGTGATCGTCATCGTCATCGTCAGCATCATCAGTATCACCATCACCATCACAATCACCATCATCATGACCATGATTGATCATACTCCTTATCGGATGTATCAGCATCACCATCATCATCATTAGTATCACCATCACCGACATCGGCATATTCAGCCAAAGCCTCAGCATCATCAGCAGCATTAACATCATCATCACCATCATCAACATCAACATCAGCAACATCAGCATCGGATTCTTCGAATATACTCCTCCTTCTCTTCCTTCTCCAACACAACCTCTCCGCCCCTGTATGATCATGGAGCATCACCCTCCTCCTCCCCCTCCGCCTTCTCCTCTTCCTGCTTCGCCTCCTTCTCGTCATCCTCGGACCTGAGGTAAGATCAAAGAGAAGGATCATTAAATCGGGGCTACTAGGGACTCAGCTGCATGGAGCTGATTTTGTCAGCGACTCTCGGCGCCAGGGGCGGCCACAGAAAAGAGAAAATGGGCTCGCGGGGGGGCCAAAACTCCATCCACCCCGACAAACTCCGGCGTCTTGATTTGTTTCAACACGCCCGCCCAGGGAAATCCGGATCTGCGCCCCTCTAACGAGGACTCCACTAACAGGTGGTTTGGCCAGTGACACGGCGAACCCAACCCTTCCCAATGTGGGCAACGCTGCAAAGCCAGAGAAAGACCCTAAAATGGCAACTTCCAGAAAATTTCCAAGGTACCCGTTAGTGAATACCCATTACGGTGCCGCTGATCCGACTTCCCGAGCCCAGGACCGGCTGGCGAACGTCTTCTTACTCGGCGCTTCGACATTGGGCGGAAGGCGGGGGGGGTCTGGCTCTGCACCTCTGCTTAATGCGGCTGGTTGCAACCTGCTTGAAATAAGAGCCAAAACAGCCAAGATCTACTCCAGGGGGGGGGGGGGGCGCGAGGGCCCACGCCGATTGGCCAAACAATGAAGAAAGAACACGATCACCATCCCAGGACATGCGGCGGTTAGTCCCGAGCAGATGTTTGACGGTCTCCCAGTGCCCAGCAGGGCCCCCCAGGGGCCGCAACCACTGCAAAAAACATATCCGTCGCGATGGCCCCACCGTCGCAGGGACGCCCGGGTCCACCTGGGCCACGAATAAAAAAGGGCTTTACACAAGATAGCACAGCGACCTTACGCGGTTGCTCACGCGGGCCGCCAGCGCCGCACGCCACAGTGGTAACGAGGGCGCTTGCGCGCGACCTTACGCCGGCAGCTCGCGCGCCAATGTCGGCGAGGACGACCCTGCTGTTCTGCGTCGCTCGCCTGGCCTCCCCAGGGGGCGCCCCCACCCCTCCACGGCGCCCCTCCGGGACCCGCTCCTCCAGAGCCCCCTTCCCCTCCATGCACGGCTCCTGGGCTCCCCGATGGGGGACGCTGGAGAGGTGGGGGGGTGGGCCAGGCGGACCGGCTACGCGCAGGAATTGACCCTGGGTAAGAACGGCCTTTGGTGCGCGGCGTGTTGTGGGCCACGTGGTGGACCGAACACAAGCACGCAAGGCGCTGCTGTCGCACCGCGCTCGGCGAACAGGGGCCCCAAGACGGCGCTCCCGCGAAGGGTCACTCTTACGTGCAGTCGAGAGGAGCGGGGACGTGGAGGGTGGGCCCAGGGGGGCGTGCTGAGAGAGGAAGGGAGGAGGAGGAGGAGGAGGAGGAGGAGGAGGAGATGGAGGAGGAGGAGGAATAAGAGGAGGAGGGATGATGAGGAGAAGGAGGAGGAGAGGAGGAGGATGACTTCGGAGAGATTTCATGGCCCTCGCCATGATGTCCGCGCACTCCTAGGTCCCAAGCCTCCGACGATGTGTGTTTGTCAGTCTTAGGCCCCAGAGATCCTGGCCCATTCGGAAGGGGCCAGGACCTCTGGGGCATGTTGCCAGGGAATCCCTGGGAGCATGTTGCTCCCTCCCCCGTACTCGTTTTCGAAGCTCCCCAGACCCCTCACCAGGCCCCAGGGAACGAAATCCAGGAAAATCGTCGAGATAGAATAATCATGTCGTCGGAGGGCTTGGGCGTTCTCCCCCGGAAGGTCAGCGATAGGGGGGACCTGCACAGGGGCGGAAACATCGACCTGGAATCGGCGATGCATCGCCGCTATATCGGCAACTGGCCCCGCATAGCGAATCACCAGGCTCCTGGGCGGGGTGGGGCTATCAGACCCCTGTCGGCGATCTGTGGGCGACTGGGGGTCGATGCCCTGGAGGGACCTTGCAAAGGCAGTGGCGTCGCAAGCGCAAACGCAGAAGCCTGAAACTACAGTGGGCAACATGCGTCTCCTCGCGCCCCCGCCCCCCCATCCGCGCAGCCTTCTCCTGAGCGTAGTTCGAAGAGTCAGTTGTCCTGCTTATGCGCCGTTTGGGCGCCTGGCTTCCCAGACGCGCCCGACCCGGAGAGCCCTCACGGGCACCCCCCCCACCCCCCAGGCCCCTGCGGCGCCAGAGCGGAGCGCCCTGCGCGGCGTCCGCGGCGTGGCGGAGCCGGAGCGGTCCCTGCCGCCGGCGCCACGCGGCGTAGCCCGGCCTGCGGGCGGCGCTGCGGCGATCCTGCCCCCTCCTCCTCGTTCCTCATGCTCCTCGTTCCTCCTCTCCTCCTCCTCCTCCTCCTCCTCCTCCTCCTCCTCCCACTCCTCGCCCCCTCCTCTCCGAGTCCGAAAGATGGTGTACAAGGCGGGGAATTCGAATCATTGCCTATTAGGCATATTGAGCCGCCCAATGTGGCTGGTCCTTATCATGAGTATCGCTTAACCGATCCCCATCCCCAGCGGCGTGGCCTGGGCCCCACTGGCCGATTTACCCACCTAGATGGGGATATAAGTCGCTCTCTTCGGGTTTCGAAGGGTATATCCCCAACTGGGGTGTCAATTTGGTGGGGGTCTCGAAGGGGATGGGGATGGGGGTGGGGATCGGTTCAACGACTGATATCAAACGGCGGCGCGGTAAGCCAAGGGACCCGGCAAGGCCGCCGCACGGAGGCAGGGGCGGCCGCCGCCGCCGCGCCGCCGCCAAAGTCTCCTCTGGCTCCTCCGTCAACCCTCGACCCTCGATTAGCGACGGACGACAGCGACGTCGGACGACAACAGGCGACGCCGAAGTCGCTGAGGATGAGAACGCATCTCGTCCGATGCCCAACACTGCCGAAAGACAAGTAACAACAAATCTACAAACCTCAACAATCGATCCGAGACCAACGACGACGACGATGACGTAAACGCCGGAGAAGGCCGCCGGCGACGGCGACGACCGAGAACGGCGACCAACGACGACGAATGATGACAACGTCGGCGGCGGCGGCAGATTACTGCGAGAATCGAGGACGAAGACCACAGACGACGGCGACTAACGATCGACGACTGACGACGAAAACGACGACGATGGAGACGATCACAACAACGAACCGGCCTATGAAGCGTCACTTCCGCGGGTCTGAAGACTACATTGCCGCGAATATTCGACTCAGAAGAGTGCGAAGTTAATCGTTTGTTTGTCATCCCTGTCGGAGGGGTGCAAGTTCGTGGCCTCTCACCATGCCAGCCGACGAACGACAACACCAGCGGCGGCGGCGGCCGATGACGACTAGAAACGTCGACAGCAGACAACGGGGACTAACAACAACCAAAGACGACGGAAGACGCCGATGAAGACGCCAACGACGGACGACGACATACGACGGCGACTAACGACGAAGGAAAACGACAAACGATGTCGACGTTGGCGACGACGTTGACGACCGACGGACGCCGACGTGACAAAGAACGGACGACCGACGGGAGATGACAACGGCGGCACACCAGGGGGCGCAGCCCGACCGCGGGCCTGAGAGCAGCGCGCCCGCAGCGCCCGCGGCGTCGCGGAGGGCTCGCGCCGACAGCGCGGGCAGGCTGCCCACGCGGCGGGCGGACGGGGCGGCTGAGGCGGCGCGGGTGTGAGGCGGCGCCGCTCCTTCTGGGGGGGGTTGTCGCGCGCGCAACGATAGCATATGCAAGTGCCATGCTCGAGATAGCAGCAGAGTGTTTCGAAAGATGCCTGGAAACGCGGCAAGTACTTCTCGGAAGAACTGGGGAAACCAAAAGGTAACTACCGATACCACTACTCCCCGAACCTCTCCTGGGGCAAGTTCTGACCAGTATTTCGAAGCCAATCCAACGGTGGCGACGAGGGCCTCGCAAGAGGCCGGTAACATTGGAAAGCGGGCGACAGGTAACGGTATGGGTACTTTTTTCATCCTCTGAATAACCGCCAGCGCACAGCACAAAACGGGCAGAAAAACGTGGTCTGTTGCAAACGACCGGGAACAAAAGCAGGGGAAGCTCGAAGGCCGAGCGAGGGGGCGCCGCTCCTTCCGAGGGGGACGATGAGGGGCCCTGGCCTCTCGCCCTCGCTCGGATGTTCATTCCCCGGATGGCCGTTGCTAGGGGAAAACGCACGCGTCCGAGTGATGCCAAGGGCCTTTCAACGAGAACAGAAAAACAGTACCAGTACCTTCTGGGCCCTCACCAGTCCTCATTTTTCTCGGGCATCGAAGCCTCTGGCGCACACACAAACACCTATATATATGTATATATATATATACGTGTACGTATGAAATTATGTATATGTATATATATATATATGTGTGTATGTGCAATGTCATGTGTGCATATATGTATATACTAGAACCAAGCGCGCGCTTCGTGTGGGCTCAGGTTCTACACGCCCCAGCTTTTGACAAGCTGACGCGCGCAGTTCGTTGGGGGCAGCTCAGGGGCCTTGTGGGCGCTATCGGGAGGTTCTGCCGGTGGCGGTGGCGACGGCGTCGAGGATCGTCAGGAATGCCTTGGGGCGTCTTGGGTGGGCTCTTGGGAGCTTTGCAGGGCTTCCTGAGAGCTTTTTGGGGGCCTCAGGGCCCCTTGAGCGTCTCTGGGGGACCTCTGGGCCCTCTTGGGAAGCCTTTTGGGGGCCTCTTGGGAACTCCTGGGAACCTCAAGGGGCTGAGAGCTTTAAATGTCCGTTCGGGGACCCCCTCTGGGCCCCTTCTTAGGCCGTCCTGGGGCACTGTTCGGCCGTCTTGGCGCCCTCTTGCGCCATCTTGGAGCCCTCTTGGAAGCCTCTTGGGCAACCTTGGGACGATCTTGGGGGCCTGTCGGGCCGTCTTGGACGCTGTGAAAGCTCCGGCGGCGCCCCCCGGCAGGTTGAGAGTGGGCGTCGTCGGGTGTCGTCGCCGTCACCGCTGCTGCCGTCGCCGCATGCGCCGCCGGCGTCGTGGACGTCAGTGTCGTTGTCGTTGTCGTCGTCGCCGTCGCCGTCGTCGTCGTCGTCGGCGTCGTCGTCGTCCAGAGCCCGAAAACGGCGAAAAACCTTGAGAGATCCACTGTCGACGAATAGTCGCCAAGTAACCTCCGAAACTTCCACCAGAAGGCCGTGGGTGCCCTCTTGGGGGGGGGCTTGAAGGCATCTTAGAGGCCTCTCAAGGGCGTCTTCGAGGCAATTTGGGAGCCTCTTGTGATCCTCCCGGGGGCCTCCTGGGGGCCACCTGGGAGCCTCCTGGGGGTCTCTTGGGGGCCTCTTGGGGCCTCCTGGGGGCCTCTTGGGGCCTCCTGGGGGCCTCTTGGGGCCTCCTGGGGGCCTCTTGGGGCCTCCTGGGGGCCTCTAGGGCCGAAAGCTCGGAATTTGAATATGATTCTGCACCTCTGGGACCCCTCTGGGGCTCGTCCTGGGGCTCTCTTGGGCTGTTTTGGCAACTTTGTGGTCCCAAGCCTAGGGCCTACCATTCCCCATGCCGCGACAAAGGCTCTCAGCTCGTGGGACTCCGGAGTTCTCGACCCCAACACGCGGCAGGGTCACACCGCGATGGCGTGCTGCCGACAATATGCGGACCGCTCGACCCTGGGAACGATCGCCGCTCCCCGATGTCGGGGATCGCTCTGTGCTGGCTAACCTCAGGCAACAGGCCAGCGCCAGCGCCCTGGGCGGCGCCTCCGCCGCGTCGACGCGTGGGGCAGGAAGAGGGCCGTGAAGGTGTGTGGGGGTGGACGAGGGACTGGACGAGGAAGGCGAGGGAGGAGGATGCAGGGGAGGAGGGAGGTGAAGAGAGGAGGGGGGAGGAGCCAGGAAGGCGCAGGAGAGGAGGGTCGACGGGCGGCGCGCTTTTCGCCCCGCGCGCCTCCCGTCGACCCGGGCGGCCCGCCCGCGCACGCCCGCAGGGCCGAGCCGCTGGCGCTCGGCGGGCGGGGCGGGCGAGGCGGCCGCGCCGGCGCCGGGGGGCGCAGGCCTCGGGGCCGCGAGCGCGGAGGGGCTCAGGGGCGGGGCGTGGGCGGGGCGCCGAGCTCCGCGCTCTCCTCGCTCCTCGCGCCCCGTTCCCCCGCCCCCTCGTTCCTCTCCTCCGCCCCCCCCCTCCTCCCCCTCCATGCCTCCAGCTTCGTTCGCCACCCCCTCCCCCTCCTCCTCCTCCTGCTCCTCCTCCTGCTCCGCCTCCTCCCATCCCCTGCTTTTCTCCTGCGGGGGGGTGGGGGGGGGCGAGGATCAATCAATCTGGGCGTTTGCCCCGCTTGGACCTCTGGGGGCCGTTTCCGAACAAGTGGATCCGGCATGACAGCTGCCCTCGGGGAAGGGGTCGACACTTCTGGGGTTGTTGTCGGGGGATGGGGCAGGAGCAAGGCATCCAACATCTTCTCAAACATCAGGACAAGAAATCTGTCGTTTGTCACCCAAGGAACACCCCTGGGGCAAAACAAGAAACACGGCATGTCCTTTCTCTCGGAATGGATTCAGCTGCAGGCGTGCCGCCGAACTGCGCTGGTAAATTCGCTGGCCCAACGGGCCAGAGGCGTGCTAAGATCTCTGGCAACTGATTTACAATATTTCTAGTTCGCGCGCGCGGAGCGGCCCCTGCGGGTCCCCGGACGAAAAGTACCCCGGCAAGGTCCTGGGAGAAGCCACCAGAGCACTCCAGGGGACGGCCATTTTTCGACACCCCTCACAAGGATCGTGGCCTCCGAGGGGGGAGCCGCAATCGACTACCCCCCCTCCCGCCCCAAGAGGCCCCAAAAAGCCCCCCAAGAGGCCCTGGGTGCCCCCAAGACGCCGCCAAGGAGCCCCAAGAGACTCCCAATAGGTCCCTAAGAGGCCCTAAAGAGGGCTTCAGGGCTGGCGGAATGAGCGAAGCGATTAAATAAAGTGGGTTGCCACTCCTGCCTTTGAAAGCCTTCAGCAATGACAGATTCGAAATAACAAACCCCAAAACGAAGGCACCAGAAAACGGATCCGACACTGTCTCGAAACTTCTAACCTCACCCACCGCCATGCCCCGCCAAATCACCTACTTAGGTGGGCTATCGCTGTTGTCCTTCAAGGACCCCAGGGGATCCTGAATTGCGTTTGGCAGTCCAAGGGCTGGTCATAGCCCCTGGGGACCGACACTTGCGCAAAACATCCATGGTGATTTTCGCGAAACACCTAACTGATAGGGGCGCTGCCGGATCCGGAACCGGATGGGCGACGTTGCCTTTCGCGACCTCCCGTGGCCTTCCGTTGCCCCCCGTGGCCTCCCGTGGCCTCCCGTGGCCCCACATGGACTCCCGTGGCCTCCCGAGTCCTGCCGTGGCCTCCCATTGCAACCCCTCGCCCTGTCCCTCAATCCCGATCCCCTTCATCACAATCCTATTTCTATATCCCTATCCCCATCCACATTCCGATCCCTACCCCTAGATCTCCTGTACCTCCACCCTCTATCCCTAACCCTGTATCCCTAGTCCTATCCCTACCCCTATTCCTATCCCGATCCAGCCATTATGGCTCCCCATCGTGACCCCCCCCCGTGGCCCCCATCGTAACTGGGTGAAGCTGTTCGGGGTCTTCTGCCGCAAGGGTGTCATCTTGAACACGCTGGAGGCCTGACGACGGCGGGAGATGACGAGCTGGGCGCGGGGCCGCCAGGGCGCGGCTGCTGGAACTCCTCCGCGAACGCGCCGAGGTGCGGCTCAGGCTCGCTGGCGACTATGCTGGCTGGCCGCCCTTCGGGCTCACCGCCTGCCATCAGGGCCATCCGATCGTTCGTCCGATTGAACCTCCGACGAAGGGAACGGATCTTGGAAGAAAGGTGTCCTGAAGGTTCTTCGCTGTCTTCGAGGCCCTGGGGCCCTCCGCGGGTCCTGGGACCTCCAATAAACAACTCGTGATGAGTAACTGGTCCTGGGGAAAGCCCCTGGGTCGTTTGGGAAGGAGGGGAGGTCTTAACATGAATGGGAGGAAGGAGGGAGAGGAAATTGGAACACAAGATGGGAGAGGGGAGGGGGGTGTAAGGGAGCAGGGGTACAAAGGCCGGATGGGGGGAAAGTGGTAAGAAGAAGGCAGATTCCAATTCCTTCTCTTTCTCGCCCTCCTCCTCCTCCTCCTCCTCATCCTCCCCGTCATCGCCCGCGCCCCCGCGCATGGCCCAGTCCGCTGTTGCTGCCGAGCACCTCGCATTCGACCGAGGGGCATTTTTCAGCGACGGATCGTGCCCCTATATAGGTGATTGCAATGCCGTCCTCTCGGTTGCTCGCTCCGGGGCCGAGTTTGGGGCCACTCCTCGGGGGCGTTTCGGGGGTCTCTGGAGGGGGCTCTCTCGCCAGGACGGGGCCTACAGTGCGCTCATTAAGCAAAAAGCCCACGTCGAGGTCCCAACCTGCCCTGTTTCGGAGACAGATTGGCGTGCCTGGCTTAATGACCAGGCCGACCAGGCCGCCAAGCTAGCCTGTAAGCTACACCCCATGTCGGGCCAGGCTACGGCCAGCCTGGAAGACCAGCTTCTCAGGGTAAAGAAGTTTATGTATGCCGCCTCCCGTGTGCTCGAGTCGGGACCAGCCCCTCGGGATGAATGGAAGGACCTCAGGCGGCCGCACAGTGGCCGCACGCCAGCCTGTCTGATCGCTCACGAGTTCGTCCAGGTCGGGCCCTCCAGGTGGCAGTGCAAGCGATGTTTGCGGTCGAAGGTGACTCCAGACAGTGCCCTGGACCGTAAGGACTGTAGGCAAAGCGACATCCCTGAGAGTTTTAAGCGGGTGACAGAGTTTGCCCACACCCACGATATTGAATGGTGTGAGCTCACCCCTCGGCCCGAGGCCGGGGTCGGTGACACCCTTTTGTTCTGCAAGAAATGCTGCCAGTATGCCACCTCGAAGCCGCTGGGGCTGGGTAAAGCCTGCCCCAGCTTCGGTGTGGTCGGCTGGCAGCGTAATGAAGCTGCCCAGCACAAGATGCGCCGCTTCCTGCAGGGCAAGCACCCCAGGTGCGGCCAGAGCGAGATGATTATCGCGCACTGGCCCCTCTTAGCTCAGGTCTACGGGGCATGTGCCCCCGAGCCATAGCCATTGGCTCGCCTGTCTCTGGCCCCTGTCTCAAGCCAGGAAACAGTTTAGCGCGAGAAAAACCCTCTTCCTCTCCACTCTCACTGACCCTCTCCCCCATTCCTCCGCCTTGTCCTCCTCGTCCTCATCTTCGTCCTAACATTCCCTGCCATAGCTCTCCACCTCCTCCTCACCCTCCTCGTCCTCCTCCTCCTCATCGTCTTCCTCCTCCCTTTCCTCCTCCTCCTCCTTCTCCTTCTCCTCGTCTTCGTCCTGGGACACGATAACTTCGAGGTTTAAGTGCATAGCCTGCTGCGTCTCCAGTAACGATAACTTCGTTCTCTCGCAGGCTGCATGTCAAGCCTCTGAGAGCTCTGGCCACGTGCTCACAGCAAGCGGGCAATACGTGGTCTGCCGAGCTTCCGTGCACTATAGTGCGACCACTGTCCACATGTTGGAAGAGAGAGTGCCTGAATTTCCCAGCGGGTCGTACTAGTACGCCGAAGTACGCCTACTAGTATGACTCGGCGGGTCGTACCAGTACGCCGAAGTACGCCTACAAGTACGACTCGGCAGGTCGTACTAATACGCCCAAGTACGCCTACTAGTGCGACACGGCGGGTCGTACTAGTACGCCCAAGTACGCCTGCTAGTACAACCCGCGGAGCGAGGGAGGCGTACTTGTAGGGCCGAAGTACGCCTACTATTACGACCCGCGGAGCGATAGAGGCGAACGCGTGGGGCCGAAGTACGCCTACTACTACGACCCGGCGGGTCGTACTAGTACGCCCAAGTACGTCTACTAGTACGACGCGCTGAGCGAGGGAGGCGTGCGTACTCGTAGGGCCGAAGAACGCCTACTACTACGACCCGGAGTGCGTACTCGCAGGGCCGAAGAACACCTACTCCTACTACTACTACTACTACTACTACTACTACTACTACTACTACTACTACTACTACTACTAGTAGTACTACTACTACTACTACTACTACTACTACTACTACTACTACTACTAACTACTACTACTACTACTACTTACTACTACTACTACTACTACTACGACTACGACTACGACTACGACTACGACTACGACTACGACTACGACTACGACTACGACTACTACTACGACTACTACTACGACTACTACGACTACTACTACTACTACTGCTACTACTACTACTACTATTACTACTACTACTACTACTACTACTACTGCTGCTGCTGCTGCTGCTGCTACTACTACTACTACTACTACTACGATGCCGATTAGTACGACCCGCGGAGCGAGGGATGCGTACTCGTAGAGCCGAAGTACGCCTACTAGTACGGCTGGGCGGAACGAGGGAGGCGTTCTCGTGTACGTCTACTACTACGGCTCGGCGGTCGCACTAGTACGCCCAAGTACGCCTACTATTACGACCCGCGGAACGAGGGAGGCGTACTCGTAGGGCCGAAATACGCCTACTAGTACGACCCGCGAACCGAGGGAGGGGTACTCGTAGGGTCGCAGTACACCTACTAGTACGACCCGGGGGCCGAGGGAGGCGCACTCGTAGGGATGCAATGTGTCTACTAACACGCCCCGGCCAAACTCCTGGAATAAAACCAGTACGGCTACTTCGTTCCTACCAGCAGCCCTGCTGGAGCGGACTTGCGAAGATGTCTCGAGCGGGAGCCCCCTCCGCCGGTCGAACTGGTAGGCCAAAATAGCCCCACGAGTACGCCCTGGCCAATCCCCCCGGGCCGTACTAGTACGCCGCCGTACTAGTAAACCAAAATTGCCCTACCAATAGCCCCGCCAAGGCGGACTTCCGAGGATGTCTCGAGCGGGGGCCCTCCCCGCCGGTCGTACGAGTAGGTCAAATTAGCCCTACTAGCTAGTACGCCGAAATAGCCCTACTAGTAGGCCCGCCGGGGCAAACTTTCGAGGATGCCTCGAACAGGAGCTCTCCCCGCATGAAGACGACGACGAACCGAGGGAGGTGTACTCGTAGGGATGCATTGTGTCTACTAATACGCCTCGGCCAAACCTCAGGCGTCATACTAGTACGGATACTTCGGCTCTGCCAGTAGCCCTGCTGGAGCGGACTTTCGAGGATGTCTCGAGCGGGAGCCCCCTCCGCCGGTCGAACTGGTGAGCCAAAGCCTACGAATACGCCCTGGCCAAGCCCCCCATGCTGTACTAACACGGCTACTTTGGCCCTACCAGTAGCCCCGCCAGGGCGGACTTACGAGGATGTCTCGAGCGATAGCCCGTTCCGCCGGTCTTACTAGAAGACCAAAAAAGCCCTACTAGTACGCCGCCCGGCAAGCTCCGGCGCCGTACTAGTAGACCAAAATCCCACCAGCCCTCTGGGCGTCGGTGGTTTAGAGCGTTTCCTCTTCCACTCCTCCTTCTTCCCCTTCGGGGAGGGGTTTACCCCTCCCCCTATCCCCCTCCCCACTGACCTGGACAGGGGGGGCCGCGGGTAGTTAGAGCGTCCAAGATGGCCCTACACGGCTCCAAGAGGGCCTCAGGGAGCTCAAGATGACCTCCAAGATGGCTCAAGATAGCGCAAGATGCCTCAAGATGGTCCCCATGATGTTCCAAGACGCTCCAAGAGCTTCCCAAAACGGTTCCAAGTACTCACAAGAGCATCACTAGGATGCCTCCAAGAAGCCAAAATGCTTCAAAACCCTCGAGAAAATCAATGTTTTTGGTGTTCTCACTTTTTCGCTTGCGATGCAACTCCGAGGCGTCAAAATGGCTCTAAGATGGCTCAAGATAGCTCCAGAAGGGGCCCAAGAAAGCCCCAAGACGGCGCCAAGAGCGGCAACGAACGCTCCAAGAACACCCCAAGAGGGGTTCAGGAGGCGATTTTAAAGGCTCTACAAGGGCGACGCTAAAAAATGCTTCCGCTTTCTTTCATCGATTTCCTCCACGATGGCCGCACGAGGCCCCAGGATGCCCCAAGAGGCCCCGAGATGGCCCCAAGATGGCCCCATGTGGCCCCAAGAAGCTCCCAAGAGGCCCCCAGGATGCCCCCAAGAGGCTCCCAAGAGACCCCCACGAGGCCCCAAGAGACCCCCCAGAGGCACCCAAGACGCTCCAAGAGGCCTCGGCGAGAATGCCCAAATCATTGATTTTACTAAGGTTTTGGCCACATTTGGGCCTCCTGGGGGGGGTGGCACTGCTTCAGATGACTCCAAGAGCGCCTGGGAGAGCCCAAGATGACCTCCAAGATGGCTCAAGATATCCCAAGATGCCTCAAGATGGCTCCCACGATGCTCCAAGAGGCCCCAAGACCGCTTCAGGACGGCTCCAAGTGGCCAAAGAGCTCACCCAGGAGGCCCCGAAGATGCCAAAATCCTTCCAAAGCCTTAGGGAAATCAACATTTTGGGCTTTCTCGCCTTTTCGCTTCCGATGGCCATCCGAGGCTTCAAGATGACTCCAAGATGGCCCAAGAGGGCTCCAAGAGCGCTCTGAAGGCTCCCAAGAGCGCTTCAAGAGGGCCCCACGAGGCGCCCATGAGGCCCCAGGAGGCCCCAACAAGCGCCCCAGAGGCCTCCAAGAGGCCCCCAAGAGACCCCCAAGAGGCCCCAAGAAGCTCTCCAAAGCACCCAAGACGCTCTAAGAGGCGTCCGGGACCGCCAAGAGGCCCCTAAGACGCTCCAACCGGCCTCCACTGGGGTACCCTTCCTTTGTGTGCTGCCCACTTCCCTGATCGAGGCACTTCCTCTGGGTATCGTTTCTGGATGGGCTGGTGGGGTTACGCGAAGCGTCTAGAATTGCCCTACCAGTAGCCCCGCCGAGGTGGACTTTCAAGGATGTCTCGAGCGGGGGCCCTCCCCGCCGGTCGTACGAGTAGGCCGAATTAGCCCGAATTATTAGCACGCCCCCGCCAGCCCCCAGCGCGCCGAAGTAGCCCTACTAGTAAGCCCGCCAGGGAGAACTTTCGCTGATGTCTCTAACAGGAGCTCTCCCCGCATGAAGACGAAGACTGTGCGGAGCTCCCAGGCTCGCAAGCGGCCCCTGGATGCCGAGATGGAAAGAAACCGCTGGGGCTAAAATTATCCCGGCAAAGCAACCTAACAGCGATGTGTAGAAGCATATATGGAAGCATTCCCCTTAAGATTCAGATGAGAATCCAGTTGTAGAGTTCTGCTGTTCTCGCAGTCGCAGTCGCATTCGCGATGACAGTCGCAGTGGCAGCGGCAGTCGCAGTCACAGCCTCAGCCTGCCTCAGTATCCCTGCCTCAGCCTCAGCCTCAGCCTGCCTCAGCCTCAGCCTCAGCCTGCTTCAGCCTCAGCCTCAGCCCTTCAGCCTCAGCCTCTGTGCCTCAGCCTGCCTCAGCCTCAGCCTGCCTCAGTATCAGCCTGCTTCAGCCTCAGCCTCAGCCTGCCTCAGCCTCAGCCTAAGCCTGCTTCAGCCTCAGCCTCAGCCTGCCTTCAGCCTCGGCCTCAGCCTCAGCCTGCCTCAGCCTCAGCCTGCATCAGCCTCAGCCTCAGCCTCACCCTGCCTCAGCATGCCTCAGCTGCCTCAGCCTCAGCCTCATCAGCCTCAGCCTCCTCAGCCCTCAGCCTCAGCCTCAGCCTGCCTCAGCATCAGCCTGCCTCAGTCTCAGCCTCAGCCTGCCTCAGCCTCAGCCTGCCTGCTTCAGCCTCAGCCTCAGTCTGCCTTCAGCCTCAGCCTCAGCCTGCCTCAGCCTCAGCCTGCATCAGCCTCAGCCTCAGCCTCAGCCTGCCTCAGCATCAGCCTGCCTCAGCCTCAGCCTCAGCCTCAGCCTGCCTCAGCCTCAGCCTCAGCCTCAGTCAGCCTCAGCCTCAGCCTCAGGCCTCAGCATCAGCCTCTGCCTCAGCTGCCTTCAGCCTCAGCCAGCCTCAGCCTCAGCCTCGGCCTCAGCCTCAGCCTGCCTCAGCCTCAGCCTGCATCAGCC